ACCCTGGTTCTGCTCTGACACTGGTTCTAGTTCTGCTCTGACCCTGGTTCTGCTCTGACACTGGTTCTAGTTCTGCTCTGACCCTGGTTCTGCTCTGACACTGCTTCTAGTTCTGCTCTGACCCTGGTTGTGGTTCTGCTCTGACCCTGGTTGTGGTTCTGCTCTGACACTGGTTCTAGTTCTGCTCTGACCCTTGTTGTGGTTCTGCTCTGACCCTGGTTGTAGTACTGCTCTGACCCTGGTTGTAGTTCTGCTCTGACCCTGGTTGTAGTTCTGTTCTGACCCTGGTTCTAGTTCTGCCCTGACCCTGGATGTAGTTCTGCTCTGACCCTGGTTGTGGTTCTGCTCTGACCCTGGTTGTAGTTCTGCCCTGACCCTGGTTGTAGTTGTGCTCTGACCTTGGTTCTGGTTCTCTCAGGGCTACATCAAACAGTGCCGGAGGAGGACAGACATGTTCAGTGAGGAGCAGCTTCGGACCATCTTTGGCAACATTGAGGACATCTATAGGTTCCAGAGGAAGTTCCTGAAGGGCCTGGAAAGAAGGTTTAACCAAGATCAGCCCCACCTCAGCGAGATCGGCTGCTGCTTCCTGGAACACGTGAGTTCCTGCTTCCAGTTCAGCCTCCCTCAGACGGGGCACCCCTACTGGAGGTAGGCCTCCTGACTGCCTATCTCTTCTGTCCAGCAAACAGATTTCCAGATTTACTCCGAGTACTGCAACAACCACCCCAACGCCTGCGTCCAGCTCTCCAGGCTGATGAAAGTCAACAAGTATGTGTTTTTCTTCGAGGCCTGTCGGCTGCTACAGAGGATGATCCACATCTCCTTAGATGGCTTCCTGCTCACCCCGGTGCAGAAGATCTGCAAGTACCCTCTGCAGCTGGCCGAGCTCCTCAAGTACACCAACCCCCAGCACAGGTGACTGGCTGAGCAGAACCCGTCAGAACCTAGAGCCGGGTAGAACCGTCCACAACCTAGTGTTAATATAACCCAACAGGTCTGTTGAGATGTTTTCTTTAGCAGAACCGCTCTAACCTTCCAAAACCCTCCATTTTAAAGGGTTTACATATTATAACTCAGAAAGCATGACATTTCCAGCGGTAAAATGTTTACCATTATTAACATGTTAGACATCTTTGGAAAGCTTAGATTCTCCACAACTCAACCACCTAGTTCATTTTATGGACATAGCGAGCACCAAAGCACAATCACAGCAGCATGTCATACTGTAGCAAGACAAAGCAGCCCTAACAAGCAAGCATGTCTTTATTACTGCTGTTCAAAAATGACCTATTGATTTGGAGAATAAAAAAATAACTTTGAGTCTTGTTTGAACTGATGCAGCTTGGATATTTTACTCACCCAAGTTTCATGTATATATTCAGAATCTAGAAGGTGTTAGCTTTCAAATAACGTATCACACATGTTATTTGGGCTTACAGTTCCTCAGTTATTTGCTTTTCCATTTGGGTATGCAAAATAGGCGAATTTCCCAGAAATGAGGTGGATAATAAGAGGCTAAAGCATGGTAAACATTTAGTTTTCATGTTGGTTCTGCATTCGGTCGGGTTCCCCCTCCTCGAAGTAGAAATGGACCAGAATTAGCTCTCCTGTTCTCTGTAGATCAGGTTTTTGTGATCTAGATCTAGAGCAACCTGTTCAGCCATCTTTGTCATCCAGAATGACAGACGTTTACCCAAAGGAAGCTTAGAGTTTGAGCTTGTTCGCTGAGGTTTTATTGGCTCCTCTTGCGGTTCAGCCTAGTATTCATTGATTCAGTCATCCATTCCATAAAATAGAAGAATAAAATAGAATCAAATTATATATAATATAATAAGGTCTAGACAGACCAATCTAGATCAGCAAGTCTAGATGAACCGGTCTAGATGACTCGGTTTAGATGAACCAGCCTAGATGAATCGGTCCAGATAAACCAGCGTAGATGACTTTGTGTAGATGAACCAGTCTAGATCAATCGGTCTAGATCAACCAGTCTAGATGAATCGGTCTAGATCAACCAGTCTAGATGAATTGGTCCAGATGAACCAGCCTAGATGACTCGGTCTAGACTAACCAGTCTAGGTGAACCGGTCTAGATGAATCGGTCCAGATGAACCAGTCTAAGTGACTCGGTCTAGATCAACCAGTCTAGATCAATCGGTCTAGATCAACCAGTTTAGATGTATCGGTCCAGATGACCCAGCCTAGATGACTCGGTCTAGATTAACCAGTCTAGATGAACCAGTCTAGATGATTTGGTCTAGATGAATCGGTCCAAATGAACCAGTCCAGATTAATCGGTCTAGATGAACCAGCCTAGATGACTTGGTCTGGAAGAACCAGTCTAGATGAATCTGTCTAGATTAACGAGTCTAGATGAATCGGTCCAGATGAACCAGCCTAGATGACTCGGTCTAGATTAACCAGTCTAGGTGAACCAGTCTAGATGAATCGGTCCAGATGAACCAGTCTAGATGAATCAGTCTAAATGAATCGGTCCAGATGAACTGGTCTAGATGACTCGGTCTAGATGAACCAGTCTAGATGAATTCTGTCTACATGAATCTGTCCAGATGAACCAGCCTAGATGAACCGGTCTAGATGAATTGGTCTAAATTAATCAGTCCAGATGAACCAGTCTAGATGAATCGGTCTAGATGGATCGGTCTAGATATACCAGACTACATCAACCAGTTTTACTGAACCAGTCTAGATCAACCAGTCTACATTGACTAGTCTAACTGAACCAGTCTTCAGTCCTGGCTGACCTTTACTGTGGGCCTTGGTGGTATTTACCTAATCAATCAGTGAACCCAGTGATCTATCCAACAGCTTCTATCTAACTAAAATCTGCTCTATCCATCGGTTCTAGGTAAATTGTCTCTATGGTTTTAATAATCTCTCCCAGCAGAGATCAGAGACCTTCTTCGGCCTCTAGATTGTAGATGTTGTGTCTAAATATTAAAGTCAGCAATCATATCAGATACGGAGGGACCTGAACGGTGGTGTTGAAGGACTGTTCTGATTCCTGCAGGGACTACCAGGATGTGGAGGCAGCCTTGGACGCCATGAAGAACGTGGCCAGGCTCATCAACGAGAGGAAACGGCGCCTGGAAAACATTGACAAGATCGCCCAGTGGCAGAGTTCAATAGAAGACTGGGAGGTCTGTCCCCAACGCTGTTCTGACATCTGTTAGCGGGCTGAGGAAAAGGTAGCATGAGTGTCTGTTCTGGTTCCCGCAGGGTGAGGACGTTCTGGTCAGAAGCTCTGAGCTCATCTTCTCTGGGGAGATGACCAAGCTGTCCCAGCCACAGACCAAGGGCCAGCAGAGGATGTTCTTCCTCTTTGACCATCAGATGGTTTATTGCAAAAAGGTACTGAAGCCATTTTCTATGAAATCTGAGGCTCAGAAAGTATTAATGGTCTTCACCTTCCAGGCATTTGGTTGTCCTCCTAGCAGAGGGGAGGCCTTCTTAGAGCAGCTAGTATACAGTTGTTGTGCAAAATTATATCCTGCAGATAATGAATAAATGATTAACTAGAACTGGAGTTATAGTTAATTATTTAACTTATTCAAAATCGGAGGTAAAATCAATTTAGTGTTCTTAGTTGAATAATTGTAGCTTTAGTCTGCTTACTTACCAGGGTTTGTGGTTTCACCTCTGGATAGTTCCTGGACCAGCTGTTAAAGTCCAGGTATCCACCAATCTAGTGACCCAGGCTAAGTTATCAGCAGAGCTATTAATTATCAATAAAGAAGCTTTTATCTCTGTTTATTCACACTGTCACCAAAGGGGGTGGATCTGACCTGAGTGATAAATCGTCCGCTATATGAAACACAGAACTACTACAAGTTGAACAATGATGTCTTTATTCTAATAATTCAGGATTACGGAAAATCTAACATCTATGCAAACACTACACTCTAGAAAATAAACACAAGGAGGAATAAATGAATAGTTTAAAAATAAAACCCTAAGAGTCAGTTTAAGTGGCTTCTGAGACTGTTGAAGATAGGCCAGATGTTAATAAATTCACTAATGTCTGTTGGAATAGCAGCAGGTATGATAACAGTACAATTAATCAACATTAAAATAATACATTCAGCTTCAAATGGTTAAATGCATTAAACAAACAGCAGCAGAAGTCGTTTTAGCAAAGGTATGTGTGTGTGTGGGGAAGGCATGTTAATGTATGAGAGACTCCCTCTTCATGTGATGAGGGGGGGGCGGTAACACTGGCCCTCACCCACGTGACCACACACGGTTGAATGTGGCAAACTCTACAACTACTTTAAAGCAGAAACAAACAGAAACAGGACAGGAAAGAGAAGGAGGAAGAAATCTCACCTGCAGCTTTCACAGCACAGTTATTTCAACCAATGAACCAGAACTCTTATAACAACACAGATTAACATCAGCATCAGTTTAAATCCCTGACCACCTGTCTCTCTCGCCGAGCGCAGCACCTCATTAATGCATCAAAAGAAAAGTGGAGGGATATAACTTTGAGATGCCTTCAGTCCGGGAGGGGGGGCTGGGGGTTACGATGGTCCGGCTCCAGCCACACGTGGGTCTTCTCCACCACAGGATCCGCTCTCAGAAAAGTTTCAGTTTGATGCTACAGCAGAGGGCCTGATGTGCTTGTAGGTGGAGGAAGTTAACTTACGGAGACTATCAAACAAAAGGCGTCCCTTTGCTGATAGACCGTGATTTCTGCAGCGAGGTCCTCAAAAAAAAGGAAGGGGGGGGGGGTTGAAACTCGACTCAGCATTCAGCTACGGAGGTTTCTGTCTCCCCAGTTAGCGCGGCCGCTATGCACGATGGGACACTGCGATCCGTGACTTTTGATGCAGGAAAATGAAAGCTACTTCCAGTTAGCTTTCTTTTAGCATTTCATGTGAAATGGGGTCTCTCCTTACAGGCGATGGAACCCAGGAGAAGGAGGAAGGTTTAGTTTGTGCTCTGAGTTTTAAACCATGAGTGACGTAGGGGTATTCCTGTTGAAGTATCGGTCTGTCGGTCCGTTTTGGCTGGATCTCAGGTAGGAACCGGTTCCTATAACGCTGAAACCCAGAAGGTCACTGATTCTGCAGCAATCCCTCGAAGCGAGCAGCATTCAGGTCAGGTTCTCCTGATCCAGAGGAACTTTCTATGTTCGCCTTTAGTGGATCCATCCTGGAGAGGAATAGATGAGCTGTGATCCAGGATCCAGAGTCCAGGTCCAGTTCAGCCAGAGGAGACCGGTGGGAGACAGAAGAAGCTGAATAGGAAGGACAGGGCCAGGAGGGGGCTTCGTGCTGAACCTTCTGTTGTTGTTTCAGGACCTTCTGCGCAGAGACATCCTGTACTACAAGGGACGCATGGACATGGACCTGATGGATGTGATGGACGTGGAGGATGGCAGAGAGAAGGACTTCAACATCAGTGTGAAGAACGGTCTGAAGCTGCGGGTCCGGGGCAGCGACGAGGTCCACCTCCTGTGTACCAAGAAACCCGAACAGAAGCAGCGCTGGATCCGGGCCTTCGCAGAGGAGAGGAAGCAGGTCCACCAGGATCAGGAGACAGGTTTGACTTTATCTCAGCTTCCAGTTTAGTTCAGGGTAGAGGGAGCCGTTCAAAGCAGAACTTCCTCCCGACCCATCTGCAGGTCCCCAGGATGCTGATGTTCTCTGAAGAACCAGAGGCCAGAACCAGAACTTCCATCCAGGTTCTACAGGTTCAGCAGTTATCTTTGACTTTCAGGTTGTTTCGAGGTTCCTCTGGGTGACCCATTCTATTCAGTTTATTTCTACAGCTCTAGCCCACAACGTCTAGTCTCAAGTCGCTCTCCAGAAACAATCCAATCAGTTCATTCAGCAGAACCAGAACCAGGCTCAGTGTGGGCGGCCATCTGCTGAGACTGACTGGTGTTCATGGGTACAGAAGCGGACAGAGAAAAATAACATAGAAGCTCTGATCTATAAGCATTTTCTCTATTAACGGTAACAGTCTTAAGTGCTGATGGCAGCAGATCAGCTTATTGCTGTCCTTCTGACCTGGATGAGATGAAGGACGTAATCTGAAGGCTGATCTCTGCTTAAGAACGTTTCTCCATCTGTTTTTCAGGCTTCTCTCTCACCGAAGTCCAGAAGAAACAAGCCATGGTGAATGCCTTCAGAGGTCATCCAGCAGGGAAACCCAAAGGTCAGCAGCCTGGTTGCTCTTATAGTTCCAGAGCAGAACATCCAGTCTGTAGACCATCCAACATCAGCAAACACCTCTTTGGTCCCTCTTCAGGGTGACAGTGGAAGAGTTTGGACCACAACCAAGGAATCTGACCTTTCTGCCACTCTGAGCTCAATAAACAAACATTAAATACGGTGGGAGGGAAAATTTCTAATGTCAAAACATAGAAATAAAGTATTGACCTTGGACCGGTACCGGTACAGACAGCGGGACAGCTGGCCCTGATGGTCCCCTGCAGACTTTTTAGATTGGACCTGTCCTTTTTGGGAATAAGACAAACCACACAGAGATGCAATGCTGCAAGATTTTTTATCTTCATGTCATGTTAGAACAGGTAATTAAACTTTAGAACCAGGCAGATGTTCTCTACTTTCATAGTTCTACTGAGGACAACAGCAGCAGTGTCTGGATCAACTGCAGCTGTCTGATCTACTTTCTTAGTTCTAGTGAGGATGCAGGCAGCAGCATCTAGATCAGCTGTCTGATTTACTTTCTTAGATGACATTTAAGTGACAGGTGACCCCGTACAGGAACCACATCCAGGCAAATGAGCTCTGAGGAACTAACAGACTCTGCAGAAT